ATACATACATACATACATATCCATATGTATCTGTATATATATATAAACCAATAGAATCATGGCAGCGCTTGCTGGTACCCCAGAGATCAGACTTTTCCTAGCCAGCATGAACCGAAAAAAATCTGAAGCCCCGAGCCTTCCAGTGACTCGGGTAATGTAGGGGCCTTAAGAATTNNGGGGTCCTTGTAAGGGTTCCTTTAAAGGGTTCTATAAGGGCTACTATAAGGCTGTAGGGGCCTCAATAATTACAGTAAGGTTTTGGGGCCTTGTCTAAAATAAGTACAATAAAAAAACCCTAAGGAATATTATTGGCAATTATTTCGGCTTCTTTATTAGGTCCCTTCTTCGGCTACCAACTTTTATGCCTGGATATGGCTCGGATCCTATAATATATAACGTTGACTAACCAAAACAAGGAACTGCAATGGAGACTTTACGCAGCCTCTGAGATATTCTATCCAGTGGACCGCGTTTTCATGTGTCGGAGGCCCCTGGGCTACACCTAAATCCTAAACCCCAAACCCTAAACCCGAAACCCTAAACCCACAATCTACATGTTAGGAATTGAGGCTTGCGCTGACGAGGCTCCGTGTCAAGGAGTTGGAGGGCTTTCTTTGTACTGTAATCAACCATACGACCATACAACCATACTAAACTATAGCATACTAAACTATAACAAACTATAGCTACTTGGAGTCATCCGACATGGTCTTGCTGTTGTGGACATTGAAGTTTGAACTTTGAGGATTTTGTGTGGCGCATGCGCCTTGGGCCCTGCATGCTGGACCCTAAACTCTAGCCGACGGATGCACAGGCGATAGGGTTTATGGGGTTGGGGTATGTCAGGGGGTGAAGACTGACTGAGCCGTGCTCTGCACGCGCCTACGTATGCTGCAGACAAAGCGAACGTCCAGCTTCATGACGCAGGATCGAGGTAGCGTCACAGATGTGACACTGCATGCACAACTATACAAACCCAAAGTCCTAAACCTTAAGACCCTAAACACTAAACCCGGAGACCCTATTACCTAAACCCTAAGACCCTATGACCTTAAACCATAAGACCCTATGCCTAAACCCGAAGACCCCATGCCCTAAACCCTAAGACCCTATGCCCTGAACCCTTATCATGCCAAGGCGAGTTTTTGACGTCGTGGCATCTTACTTCCCCAACAAGTCACGAAAGAAAAGGTTTAACTTTCGGATTACTACAAAATTATAAGAACCCTAAAAGTTTAAAGGTTGGGTATTGGAGAACTAAGAAGCCCTAAACCCCAAACCCTAAACCTTTAACCCTAAACCCTAAACCCTAAACCCTAAACCCTCTAAACCCTAAACCCTAAACCCTAAACCCTATAATTAAACCCTAAACCCTGGGTATTGGAGAACTGAGGCGTCCTTCAAGTTCATGGTGGAGGCCACGGCCCACTCTGCCGAAGAAGCGGAGAGAAGAGAGCTCGTTGTAAACGCAGCGGCTTGAGGACAACCTTTTAGGGTTGAGGGTTTAGGGTTTAGGGTTTAGGGTTTAGGGTTGAGGGTGTGGGGGTTTGGGATTCTGCTTGTAGGCCTTATGGACACGCCTTTACGAGGCCGATGTTTCAGACATAATGCCCTAGGCTGTCGTTTCAGGGATCCTTGGTGCGACAAATAAGGGCAAGATGTCGCGTCTGCACATGTTGCAGGTTTACTCACAGCAGCTCCAATTTAGGCTGGAATGTACGTGCAGAGCGATCGGTTCTGCTGGCAACCCATGAACCTACAGACCCCCTAGCAGTTTGGACATTGGGGCTTCGGCTTGAGTGAGGACTCTGTTGAATGCCCTGGCACATAGAGTTCGCAGAGCAGATGACATCATAGTTCCTACAGGAGTTTGGGACCCGAAGCAATCATTGCCTAACAGGTGTTCAAACACGTCATGCGCAACACATCCTAAACCCTAAACCCTCAACTTCCACTCCTGCCGCACGGTATCCTTTCTTCTATTCCCAGTTGCGGCTGAGTTCTCTGGCCCCAATCTTGTCAACCCTGACTTTCTGAAATCATGGCAGGCATACACAGAAATTCCAGAAACGTCGAAGTTACACCTAAACCCTAAACCCCTAAGCCCTAAACCCCAGACCCCGAAACCCCTAAACCTTACTTCCCCAATAAGCCACGAAAGAAAAGCTTAAACTTTCAGCTTACTACTAAATTATAAGAAGCCAAAAAGTTTAAAGCACGTCGGGTCATGAGCGCGGTCCCCAGCGAAAGGCGTGAGACTGACTCTGTCGAATTAAGAGCTCAAAAATCTGGTGGGAAACAGCTTGGAAGTGTTCGGGGAGGCGTGTGGGATAAGTTTAAAGGTTGGGTATTGGAGAACTAAGAAACCATAAACCCTCAACCCCTAAACCCTAAACCCTAAAAGCTTCTTGCCCTGCTCCAAGCTGGTTTCATCGCAAACTTCGCCTCGCATGGATGGGCCAAGACTGTGAAGCGGACCTGGGAAAGGGTGCTTTGCTGAGGACGGCTGGATAGGTTGCGAAACCTAACAAGAACTATATTCTATTATGTTATATTGTTGTAATAGTTTAGATCTCGGATGATATATATATATATAAATACATATAAAGAGAGTACTATACTATATTTAAAGTATAATCCAGATCATATGTCAGCCATGGGATTTGAGGAGCAATCAGAGGACCCCGGTTGAGGAATTAGAGGTTGCCGGTGTCGGGTTGCTTCCGTATTTATTTGGGTTTAGGGTTTAGGGTTTAGGGTTTAGGGTTTAGGGTTTAGGGTTTAGGGTTTAGGGTTTAGGGTTTAGGGTTTAGGGTTTAGGGTTTAGGGTTTAGTCAGTGTTGCTCATGAAGGCTTTGCAACCGGGCCGTGGCACAGAGAACATGCTAGGGTTTAGAGTTTAGGGTTTAGGGCTTCGGGTTTAGGGGTTAGGGCTTAGGGTTTAGGGTTTAGCTAGGTAGCGGCCATGGCCACGGAAGTTCTGATAAGATACCCGTGGCTACTCCAGCCTGCTCTCATTCTCTGTCTCTCTCATGCTTTGTGTCTCGCATCTTTCTGTCCATCTCCCTCCCAATCTCTCTACCCCTGACCTTGAAATTATGGTGACAGGTGCATGCGTACACAAATTCGATAAGAAACCACAAAAATCAAAGAAATACAAATAACCTAACAACAAACACTGGCTATGGCAACAAATGAAATATCAGCCAAATAAATAAGTATAATGGGTACCCGCGTATAGCACAGGCGCGCATGCGACATGTGCAAAGTTCTGTTGTCTCAACCTGCAAGGCGCAAAGTTTAGCTCTCATGCTTCGCAGAGCTTAGGTAGAGGATTGTCCGCGAAACAAACCTGGGATTCATGGATTCGGGTTGTCTTTCCCACATTGAAACTCTGAATTCTAGAGTCTACGGCTCAGGGCTTATCGGGTTCATCTAGACCCTGAACCCAAAACAGAGCTGGAGGAGTCAAGCAGTGGGCCTGTGAGATTACGTCCGAGGCGCAGTGCCAGGTGAAAACGACGCCGAAGCCGCCGCAGTAGCCACAAGCTCCCTGCCCTACCTTGGCTCCGACAGGTTCCCTAAACCCTAAACCCTAAACCGTCCTTCCAAAATCCTTTCATCAAGCAGTGCTCCCTTCAGCAAGTTTTGTGCACGAAGTCCTCCAGTAGAAGCTTAAGAGCTCTAGAGCCGGAACTCCGGAACCGACAGAGACACCCCGAAAACTGCACGACCCTAAACACCCACAGGTTGAGGGCTTTAGGGTTTAGGGTTTAGGGATTTGGCCTTTAGGGGTTTCTATAGGGGTTTAGGGTGTAAGGGCCACGCCCCATTTCCGAAACCTGAACTTTATTAATAGTTCGAGCAGGGTCTTGGGGTGCCTTCAATTCTATAGTTACGAAGTTTAGGGTTTAGGGTTTAGGGTATAGGCCCTAAACCCTAAACCCTAAACCCTAATAGTGTTTAGGGCTTATGGTTTTCTTTTATTGTAAAGCAGCACCACCTACGCACGCTTCGGGCCCGGCAACCCAACTCCTGTTTGCTCGAGTCCTCCAACGCCGGGATGTCCGTTGATGCGGAAGGCCGGGGCCCAAAAGTAGGGTTTAGGGTTTAGGG